CCCAAACATTTTGGAATGTGCGGCAAAGAGTGGAAACAAGGTGGCATGGATAACTACTTCCGCAGGCGAAAATTTTAAAAATTTAAAAGTCATAGTACATAGAATTTATTTATTTTAAAATATGACAAACTTTTTTGTTAAAAAATAAGTTTATAATAATTTATTTTCCAAAGAAAAACTAGTACCTAGTCTTTCAATAATTCCAGTTCAAACCTAATACCCAGATAAGTCCTCAAAACAATGAACCCAACATACTATCCAGTCACCCACACATACTTTCGAAAGATCAGGAAAGAAAATCTTATTCTGGTAATGAATAATCTAGAAATTTAAGGAATTAAGGTCTATTCGGAGATTGAATTCTTCCGTTGATTGGAATTTTTCATGGTAGAGCTAGACTTCCACAAAAAATAAGAGCATGAGAAGAAGAAGGAAAAAATGGGCAGAAATAATGGTTACAAGACTGAGTTACAAGGCAGTACGCAGTTGTGTATTTTGGCTCTCAAAATTTTTGCCTGCGGCGCATTAAATCAACTTATATAGATTTTCAGTTCCGGGTTACGGTTCCAATTAATTACCAAAAACAAAGATTTAACTGTTCAGGTTTGGTTAAACGTCCGCAAACAGACTTAATTTAGAGTTTAAACATTTTTATCATTATATTTTCGATACTAATAATTAGGGTGTTTCAAAACATGAAAATGCATATTTTGTATGCGGATATGCCATGAGCTGAAACGCTCAAAAATGGTGTTTTTACATCGGTACTAACATTAGGGACCGGGTTCCTACAGCATATTTTTGCATATTTCGGTACTTTCGAGCATATTTGCATATCGATGCATATTTTGGGAAATTTTGCATATTTTTACCAAAATTTGTGCATACTTTGGCATTTTTTGAGAAATTTTAGTAAAAATCGGGCAAAATTTTCAAAATTTTATAATTTTTTAGGCAAAAAATTTTTAATAAAAATTTGTTGAAAAATTTTTTTCGAAAAAATTGTCGCGATAAATTTTTTTCAAAAATATTTTTTTGGTTGAATTTTAAGTTCATAAAATCTTTTAAAAGTGCTCTTAAACATCAAGTTAAATGCTAATTGAATATTTTTTATTTGAAATATTGATTTTTAAACCACATTTTTACTGTTTTTTGCCGCATATCTAGTGCATATTTTGGGAAATTTTGCTTATTTTAGTGCATATTTAGTGATTTTTCGGTGCATATACATGCGCATATTTTTAAATTTTTCGTGCATATTTTGAAACACCCTACTAATAATTCATATTAATTCAAAATTAATTTCATCTTCATTCAAAACTCCCCCAAAATATCTAAATCATCTTCCTCAATTTCAAACTGTTTGTTATCAACACTACTCTTCCCCTCATTTTTCTTCTGTGCTTTTTCAATATCCCAAGCTTCGCGGATTGCCTTTAAAACTTCCTTTTCAATTTTATTTTCGTTATATTCCTTTATTGTTTCAGTAGCTATTTCACGTGCTTTTATTTGATAAGAATTACTTTTTTCATTAATTTTTTCTTGCTCCTTTATTATATACTCAGTATTTGCTACTGTAGCCTCAATACCCATTGGGTCTTTTATAGTTCCATAAAGTTGAATCTCTTTCATGTCTATATTTGAAAGATACTTTTGACTGCATTTTTCTTCTGAAATTTTATATAATTTTACCTTTTGTATGTTTATTCAATTTGGAGGGATCTCTTTATCATCTCGAATTAAGTCCAATTATATCTCTCTTAATCCTTTTATTTTTATTAACTATAATAATAACTAGAGTCCAAATTTTTTACAGTACCGTATTCCGTACCGTATTGCCGATACCTATAAATACCGATCAACTTCAAAATTTTATCCACCGTATTCCGAACCGTATTATTATACGGAATGCCAATAAATAGCAGTGGGTAATAAATACCGTGGGCTACTCTGAGAAAAACACAATGCTTACCCATTTTTTACTTACCCATTTCTTTAACTTCTCCCCCAAGATTGCACAAATAAGCAGCTATAGCAATTAAAGCGATAGTTCCATAACCTTTTCTTTCTTTTTCGAGAAAAATATGATCCTCAAGAAAACTGAAAAGTTTTTTGACAATTTTTTGAATTAATTCATCAAAATCCTCAATTTCTGGTTTTGATTTACCTCTCAATGCATCCTTTACTTTTCCGATCTTTTTTGAGCTTGAACTCTTTTCAAGCCTTTTTTTACCGAAAAATATTGAAACTGCATGGGTATATTTGTTATAATCCAAGAGTTTATCAAGATCAGTCAATTCATCTGTTTTGACGTGGAAAGGGCCTAAATGAAAAGAATTGGCAAGTATATCAAGATGGGCCATATTAAGCAAAATCAGATACCCAACCTTTTTTAGACCAACACAAAATTAAATCTGCAGAAATTTCGGAAACATTTTTTATTTAAAAGGAAGGAATTGGCTTCTTAGTTGGCCAAAATTTTACAAATTTCGCTAGCAGCGTTAAAAGTTACCCATTTTTTTTCTAGTAAGGATCTTTTAAATAGAAAAATCACCCTTAAAATAGGTGCCAAAATATCTTTTATTTATTGGATACATTACTAGAGTGCGGATCTTATTAAAGTAAAACTCATTTTTGGTAAATTTTTGCATTTTTTGTCAATATTTTGTTAATTTATTTCAATATTTTAAGCCCATATTTTGCGATTTTATTTCAATTTAAATCCGCTACCTATTCATGATAATCATTTTAATTATTATTCAGAGCAAGCTTTTTTATAGGGTAATTTTCATAGAAATTCGGTATATTTCACTGTGCCTAAGAAAAACAAATAATTTACCATCATATTTCTTAGAAAAATGTTTCTCAGTTTCATAATTCAAAATCCACGGTTCGACTTGCAAACTTTTCCATTCTTGATTATTTGCAAATCCCAAATGTCTTTTGATTCTTTCAATAAATTCATAAATTATTTCAATTCTCCAATCAACATAAGCATCAACTAAATTACTATTTGAAGTACTTCCTTTGTGCCAATCTTCTTTAACTTCAATAATTTCATCCAAATCTTCTTCATAAATTTTTTTCTTCCCTTTCCCAACATAAGTTTGATTTTCCAACGTTTTTTCGGATTCTTTCAGAAAATATTTTTTTATATCTCTGTTATTCAATGGACCTTCGAAATATTGGACTAGCACAGAAAACAGGGAAAGATCAGCTTTAGTTAATTCACTGCCAAATAGATATGCTCCAGTTAAAAGTAACCTTTCAGCAATTATTGACAATTGGTTGTCGAATAATTCAGAGGAATGATTGAGAGATATTTTAGATAAATATTGTTTTATCTATAAATTATTTTCATTAAATGTTAATTTATGTATTGCTATTAGGGTTGCCAAAATGGACCGACTCGGACCGAAAGATCGAGTCATGCCTCGATGTTTGGCCCGAAAAAATCTCGTACCGGCCCGACTCGATAAATTTGGGCCCGAAAAAGACTCGTAACGGCCCGACTCGATAAAGTTAGGCCCGAAAGTGACTCGTACAGGCCCGACTCGATAAAAACAGGCCCGAAAAAAATTGTCTCGGAAAAAGTCGGCCCGACTCGAACGAGACTCGATAATATATAATATTTTTACCAGATTTGTGGACAAAAATGGGTGAAATCTGGCTCCTTGGTCTTCCAAAATTCGAAAAATTTTCGCCTGCGGCGCTGAAATGAAGGATTTTTAGCTCCATACTTTGCTTCACATCTCGAACTTACTGGCTTTAATTGATAAGCTGGATTACTGGGAGTTATGGTATATATTCCGCGGGATCCCGTCATAATTTGAACTTTTGAAACTCAATCAGTTTTGAGAGTCCACAATTTTCCGCAGTCCGTAATTTTAACTTTAAAATACGCAGTCGCAATCTTCGGTCCACAATTATTCCATTTATAGCGCCGCAGACGAAAATGGTCGAAAAAAAACTTTCGACTATTCTTCTACTAATTTTTTCCCCCTTTCCCCTATTTCGGGGGGGGGGGGGGGCTCTAGCAGCCCCACTGGACATGCCCTTGGATTAAGTGTACGAGGAATTTATTAAGTGTACGAGGATCAAGGATACGAGGAATTTTAACATACAGCGGGATTTTATTAAGGGATTTGGTGATTAACGCACGATATCCCCGATATCCCTTCAAATCTCCTCATTCCTTCTAAATCCCATTACAATATATCACCTTAATCATCTGATATACGATCCTGAACCCCTTAATCATCTGATCTCCTTTAATAAAACCAAATCTAGCAATATCTCACCCCAATCCTCCGATAATTTAAATCACCTTAATCCCTCAAATCCACTGATATCCATTTCAATTCTCTTCAGCCCTTCCTTTACCCTCCTGATCTATCGATATACCTTTTAATTCACAGATATCCCCCCAAATCCACTAATTATTTTTAAATAAATCTTTTAAAAAAAGACTCGAAAATGTCTCGGTGCCCGACTCGATAAAGTCAGGCCCGAAAGTGATTCGTACCGGCCCGACTCGATAAATTTAGGCCCGAAAAAGACTCGTATCGGCCCGACTCGATAAAGTTAGGCCCGAAAAAGACTCGTACCGGCCCGACTCGATAAAAACAAGCCCGAAAAAAAATGCCTCGACCGTCGGCCCGACTCGAAAACGGCAACCCTAATTGCTATCCACAAAATTCCCTGATATCTCCCACTCAAACCCTAATCAATCGATATCCCTCCAAATAATTGATATACTTTGATACTGCCCTTAATCCTTCAAAATCCCCTATATCATATATACAGTTTTATACCCTAATCCTCTTATATACCTAGATATCCTCTTTAATCCCTCCAAGTCTCCGTTAATTTATTAATTTTTGTAAAATTTTTTATTATTTTTTCTATACTCGTACAGAGGTACGAGTACGAATTTTAATACAAGCCTAAAACCATTAGTCATAGGTAAATTCAAAATACTGGTCTTAAATAAGAGCTTCTTAAACAATGACCTTTGTATACATGCTTCCTTCCCCATCTCCATTAAAATATTTTTGTAACATTTCATCTATATATTCCTTCAACCAATTATTTAATCTTTGCCAATCACCCATATCAAAATTACCCATAACTGGTTTAATATATTTTTTCATAAACAAAATAATTTTCTTTTCATCATTATCAGTGAGAGCATCACTTAAATTCAATTGGAAATATTCTTGCCAAAAATTAGAATTTATAGCAAGGATATATCCAAAATTTTCGATCGCAATTTGAATATATTTGGATTCCATAAATTCTGGAAGATGTTCAATTAACTGTTTTCTGATTCCATTATCGGAGCTAAGAAAATCTAATCCACATTTTCCATTTATTTTCATTGTCCGATCTTCCATCAGAATTCTTAAATAATTTTTTATTTAGTTATTGTTTATTACAGATTTAGCTTGTACTAGATATATTTTGCTAATATATTCTGGACAGGTAAGTCAACGACAACCGATGTACACTAAGTAATCAAGACAATAAGGGGTCATTAATTAAGATTTAATTGGAAATGGTAAAAAATTGAAACATTGAAAAAATAATCACAGTGGAAAAACCCCATATTTAATTTTGCTTAGCAATGATTAATTAAGAAATATACTATGCTTATTTAACATTTCATAATCGGTGCCGTCAGTTAACATTAACGAAAAGTGATTTCGTAAATGAGGTTTCGATTGAGGGTGTCGTTAAATTCCAAATATAATTGCGAAATTTCAAAACACTTTACAAACAGAGAATATATTTCTAGATAGTTAATATAATAAGTAAACTTGAAATAGTAAAATTTTTTAATTTAATTTTTAATAAAATTTTTAACTAACGGGATAAGTATTTCATCGACGATCCCAATTATTTGATTTTCGTTCGAATTTCGTTCCAATTTCATTCCCAAATGATCCAAGCTTTTCATAATATTCTCTGAACCCTCAATAAAATTTCCATTGAATTGGACAAATGGAATAGTTCCATAATGTGGAGAACCAAGCATAAAATGATTGTTGATTCTCTACAGGAAGAATTTAAATAATAATAATTAGATATGTATAATTATTAAAATTGAGTTTGTCAAATATTGAAATTTTTTATTCTAGATAATTACTACATATATTTTAAAAATAAAATAAAAACACAAACTTGACCTATCTCACCTAAGGAAAAAACAATTTGTGGAACAGACACGGATCCGGGTGAGTGACACGGACCCAATATGACAATTTTAGGTTTTCTACCTTTATACAGAGTATTTCTAATTTTTACGATTCAATACATCTGATCATATCCCATTTTTGAGGAGCCATACACAATTTGATGTTTTGAAAGTAGTAACTTTAGAGAAAAAACACGGACATGAAATTTATGAAATTAATTTGTTTAAAGGATTTTATTAGATTTAAAAATTACTAAACTTTAATAACTTACAAAAAACTGGACATTTTTAATTTTCAGCCAACTCTCGATTAACAAACATTTTATTGATAAACTTGGTAATGATTCGATTCTTGGGTATTGAACTAAATAAACAACGTCATTTTTCCAATTTTCAACCAAAAGCCTTGGTTTTCCTTCTTCGGCTTGTGGCAATTTCAACAGACCTAAGATTAATTAAATTAAAACTCAAAAATTCTTATAGTAAATCTATCCTCAAAAATTATTTTAATTAAATAATTTACATACCAAAAATTCCTTTTATTAAAAATATTAAGAATAAATTATGAAAATTCATTCTGAAAATTTAATATATTAAAATTAATAAATAATAAAAAATAATTTTTTGACTCTAATAGCAAACAAAAAAACTAAACGGATCTTTTAAAAGCTAGATACATATATTATTATAAGACTGGTCATGTTTCCATCCAACCTAACAAATAAGGCAATAATGAAAAGGTCAGTCGGTGGTGGGATGATTGAAAGTTTTTTTGAAGGGTTTTAAAAAATATATTTCAATATATATTTTTTTAATTTTTTAAATGTTAAATTTTTAAATTATGTATGTAGCTATTTAAGAAATGTAAATTGAAAGGGCAAAAAATATTAATAAATAAGTCTGTAAATTATTTAAATTGCTTTTTAAATAAACTTTATAATTCAAGTGCAATGTACTTTTTTTTATTTACTTTTATTTTTGATGATGAAATTATTTCCGAATTAAAGATTTCATAATAAAATTATTTTTTTTAAAGAAATGACTTGGAATTTCTTGTGAAAATTCAAAGTAAATGAATAGAACTTTACTAAATAAATTATAATTGGACTGGCAAAAAATCAAAATCATATGAATAAATCAGAGGATGGTCAGAATTCCAATTTCCGACGTTTTTTCCTTCCGATTTTTGAGTCCGAAATAAAATTTGAAACTAAACGGATCTAGTTTATATTTTTAATTATATTATTTTTTAATTTTATTTTATATAGATTTAATTTGATTTAAATTTTTTATTTGTATCTAATCTAAAGATAATGGAAGAGAATCTCGGTATTTTTTAATTAAAAAATTATTTTTATTCTATTTTTTCTTTTTTAAATTTAACTTTATTTTTAACCATAATTAAGTTTATTTACTTTTATCAACCCATTTAATTGCAAATTCAATTCCACACTTCATTTATAAGCAAATTTGGATTCATATGCGATCCATAAGCAAACTTGAATTCACACGCCCATTTATTCGCAAGCTTAGATACACGCACCCATTTATTCGAAAACTCGAAGTACACAACCAATCTATAGCAATCTTGAATGCAAGCAGCCCATTTATTCGCAAACTCGGATTCTAAGTTCGAACTTTTTTTAAATTTCGAAGTTTCTTTTAAATTTTTATATTTTAAAAATCCATAATTGACTAGGATATACAAATAGGCAACTCTTGTCGCCACGTAATGGTGTTAAAAAATGCTAACAAATATTGTCCATCACTCAGTGTTTGCTCGTTTGTTTTATTTTTTAAATTTATTTATAAATTAAAATAAAAGCTTTTCAATAAGACTTTTTAGCTCACACACCTATAAGAGATGAGAGAAGGAAATAAGGGCAACAAATAGGCGAATGCTGGCACAACACAATAGCAGCAACAACAACAACAAAAAATGATTTTAATACTTTTATTGATAATGAATTTAACTTTAAAAAAATTTTAAATTAGATTAAATTTTATAAATAATTTAACCGAATTTAGTATTTGTGGTCAGAAAGATTTTGACCAAAGCCAATATAAGATCTTATGTGGGACAGCTTGAGCAAAGATATTACGAGGCCTGGGAATGTTGTGAATTGTCATGGGAACTTGTCCTGCAAATAAATGGACTAGATTTTAATTTTTATTAGATTTTTAATTGTTTTAATTATTTTATTTTAATTATGAATCTCTTTATCTAAATCATTTATTTAATTCTATATATCTTTTTATTCTTTATTATCCAATTTATATAATATTATCAAAATCAATAAACAAGTTCTCCTAAAACTCATTTAATATATAAATAAATGGATAGTATATTTAAATTTAAAAATAAAATTTTATTCATTTTTACGTAAATAATTTTTTACGTTTTTTGATTATTAGAAATAAATTGCTAAAAAATGGTGAATGAAAAACTCCGCGATTATTTGTTTAGCTTTAAACATTGACAGATAATAGAATTTATTTAAAAATCAATTTTGCGTTGAGTATGTCACAGCTACTTTGCTAAACGTACTTAAGTAACAATACATATCTATAGATTTAATCTTTCTTAGATAGTTAATTAAGTAACCCCTTTCTTTCATGACCGACTAAGTCACATGATCTGTCACCCATTGAGAATATTTGGGCTGTATTGACTATGGAAGTTTACAAGAACGGAATGCAGTTTAACAATGTTAACGCTCTTAAACGAGTAAATAAGGAAAAATGGCAACAATTGGACCAAAATATAATTAAAAATCTGATTGGAACAATGAATAAAAGATTAATTGAGGTCATTAGTAAACATGTATTCATTACACATTATTAATTTGCTTTTTATCCAATTGTATTTGTTAATTTAACAAGGTGTGCTTTTTTTTATAAATTTTAGTAATATGTACAATACCTACCCTTAATTAATATATAATTGATTTAATTCAAGTCCCTTTTCTTCCTGAGATATATCGAATTGTCTGCCTGCAATGTGCTGCCGCATAAACTTTTGCACCTTACTGTATGATTTTTAGTAAAACTCAACGCGGAACATTCAATATTCATCCACATAAATTTTACTTTATTTGAAATATCCAAAGCTGTACAAACATATGTGGATGTTTCATTCATTCTTTCTAGCTTTTCAGTAATTTATTTTTAAATATTAGTTTAGAAAATTTAATTTTATCTCGCTAACTATGGTTAAATTACCCATCCATTTCAGTTTTAATGTCATCTTTTACTGCTTTTTAATTTGAAATAGTATATTAAAATGGTTATTAACTCATACTAATAAAAAAATTATTAATTAATTTTTGATAGAGCTTTAGTTGTTGAAGCAAAATGGAGAGAAAACTGGTTAATAAATGTCAAGTTTGCGATTCTTCTTTGAAAGTTTCACATCAATATAACGTCAATTGTTGCAATGTTTGTGCTGCATTTTTCAAGTTTTATAAATTTTTAAACAAAAAAACAGTTAAATTTTAAAAAGGATATATTTAAAAAATAAAGAACAAAAATTTGAATGCAAATGTTTCACAAATTCTGTGAAAATAAAACTAAGGTTGATAGATTGTGAGCGATGTTATCTCAATAAATGCCTTTTTGTGGGAATGAAAGAACCAGGTTGCCCTAAAAAATATTCATCTAGACAACAACAAATAAATAAAAGTTGCGAAGAACAAAAGGTTAGAACTTTTGATCCTTTTTTGTAACACTCAAAAATGTGGCAAAAATAGGGAAAAATTAGTTAAAACCCGTGTTCATAAGCTCGTACCAAAATTCGTACTCGTCCTCGTACTTAGGTACGAAGTACGAGTACGAGCAAAATTGAAATTTATGAGCACTGGCGAAGGATAAATATATTCGAGAGAAGAATTCAAAATTAAGGCAAAAGTTCAGAAATAGGGAATATCCTTCATAAATAGTGTATAGCAGGGATGTCTCGGGTTACCCGAAACCCGATACCCGAAACCCGGACTTTTTTTCGACCCGAAACCCGACCCGAGAAATTTTTGAAAACCCGACCCGAAACCCGACATTTTCCTTGGAATTTTATTACAAAAAGGGAAGATTTTTGGCTCTTTGGCCTTCCAAAATTCCCAAATTTTTCGCCTGCGGCGCTGGAAAATGAAGAAATCTAGTGGGTTGGTCTTCCAATTCTCAAAATTTTCGCCTGCGGCGCTAAGAAATGTTGCCGAATTTGGGCACAATTTTTAAGGATCATGATGGTTTGTGGAGGTATCTATGGGAGGTATCTTCGGTGGAAGGAGGTATCTTCGGGTGAAGATAAAAAAATCAAAAATTAAAAAATTTGGGCGTGATATCGCGTGGGACGTTTTCCGTTGGGATTTTTACCATAAAAAGAAGAATTCTGGCCTCATGGCCTTCCAAAATTTGCAAAATACAGAGTGTGGGATAAATTTTATGTGGGATAAATTTAAAAAAATTTTATGTGGGATAATTTTATGTGGGATAAAACACTCTGTGGGATAAATTTTATGTAAATTTTGTAGATTGTTGCTGTGATTGTTGATAAATCTGGTAAAGAATGCAATGAAATTAATTTTTTATTAAAAATCGCGGAGGATCAGAAAAGAATTTTGAATGCTTTTACAGATATAAACGATACTTTACTCAACGTTATTAGTTGCGAGGATATTGTACTTTCAGGCTTTAATATTTTCAATCATATTGAGATGTTTTCGGTAAATTTTTATTAAAATTTAAAATATATCCTCAAACTTCAAGCCAAATCCTCGTCCTATTTCTCGAGAAGAGATGCTTAGCTGGGAATTAGACATTGAAAGAGAAGGATTTTATAATAATAGGACATATAAATGTATTCTAGTTGATCGACTGGTATGTGTTGCTATCGCAAAATCAATGCCTGTATTCGAAAAATTATCTATAACTGACAAAGTCCTCTGATTTAGACGGAACAATTTTAATGATCTTTTTTTGCAGGTTGCTCTTTGCCGGCACGTATCACATATATTTACATGCTTTACAAGTTCATTTATATCATGTGAGCTTGGCGTGGATACGAGGACACGAAAGGATTGTGTTATGCCTGCTCTTGGTGTGATTAAAAATAAAGATTTTATTCAGGATAAAAAGTAAGCTTTTCCATAATACAGTAGTAATAAGAGATACAACTTGTGACTAACAATTTAGATCTTATATGTAGGGCTAGGATTTTAGGCAAAATGTCTGTTTTTTCCTAGATAGGCCCGAAATCTGGTGTTATTTTTAAAGAATTTGTGCATGAAAAGTGCCTAAAAATCTTTTTTAGTGCCTAAAAAAATCTTTTTAGTGTCTAAAAATCCTAGCCCTACTTATATGAAATAGTCTTCCAGTGTATACTTATTTTGTAAGTACTTAAACCGATCTTAGTATACTTAGAAACGGACTTTTTAAACTTGCGCGTCAAAAAATTCCAGCTGAAATAAGAAGTCATTAAAAAAATTTACATATTTGGGAGAAAATTATAATATATGTAAGCGAGAATAAATTAAATTTTATTTTTATAGCATACTTATATTCGGAAAAAGTTTCCACGATTAACTTCTACCTATTAAGTCAGGGCTTCGATCTCGAATTTTTAAAAATCCGCAATTTTGATAGAAAAAATCCACATTTGATATGAAAAATCCGCAAAAAATTATCAAACACAAAAGCTGAATTAAAATCACTTCATGCGTTATATTTTTGACTCCAACAATTGAATTGAGCAATTTTTTCCTACTAATGACTATTTCATTAAAATCCGAACAATTATATGAAAAATTATGTTGACTTGAGCCAGGCCCGTAGCCAGGATTTTTTACGGGGGAGGGCCAAGGGGGAAATTTTCTGTGCCAAACTTTTGGCGCCGAAGGCGCCAAAAATTTTTATTTTAAGCGCAGCAGGATAAAATTTTGAGAATTATAGATGGCTGTAGGCCAAAAAAATTCACTTTTTAGCGCCGCAGGCGAAAAATTTTTGAATTTCGGAAGATCTTTAAGCCAAAAATCTTCCTTTTTCAGCGCCGAAGGCGAAAATTTTGTGGATTTTGGGAGGCCAAGAAGCCAAAAAATGCTATTTTATCATAAAAACTACAAGAAAATACAAAAAAATCCACATAATCTTCAAAAGGCCACAAAAATCCGCAAATCCGCATTTTTAAAAATAATCTTCATCGCCCTATCAAAAAACCACAAAATGAGGAAAAATCCGCAGAAATCGAAGCCCTGTATTAAGTCAACCCGAGCCTTGTAAGATACTTAAATTGATTGTATAATTAAGCGACCCCTTCTTATCTTTTCATGTAAAATTTTGAAGCATTGGTAAAAGTGGGGTCAAACTGTATTTTAATTTTTTATTTCATATAATTCTATCTGAATATATTTGTAAACAGATTGTTTTTCTTCGTCGACAGCATATTTACAAAGTCAATCATTCCTTTCAAAAAAACTGCATTATCTAAAGAAGAATATGCGCTTTTAATGGCTATTATATTTTCACATCCAAGTAACAATAATTATCTTGAAATTTGAAATAAAATTTTTTTATACATAAAGTTGTAAAAGGTCTATCATATCAAGGAAAAGAGTTGTTGTATGAAGAATATTTTCGATACACTAAAATGTTACTTGAATATACTCAAAATAAATTTGGAGTGATTGATGGTGCAAGACGATTAGATGCATGCATACTTTTAATAAATACATCAATACAAATAGATCAAGCACTTGAGGAAATGCATATCTATATGCATGAGAAATATCCTAATACAGTTCCCAATATTATTAAAAAAATTTTCGAATCCTAACATTGGTGATTGGATTTTTTATAAAATAAAAATTTTATTTCATTTTTATTATCGAAACCCCAATTTAGTACAGAATCATTTCCTTAAGTATGGAGGATTGAGTGGTGTAAGGAGGATGGATGCTTGGGATTTGGCCGTACAAAATTTGGAATTTCTCACTTGCCCTTCCGAAATTCAAAAAATTTTCGCCTGCGGCGCTAAAAAGGAGTTAAGAATAGGGTATTTTCGAGAATTTGCATGTATTAATGGGGATTTGGTTGATATTGGTAGATTTCTATGTATGCACAAGAGTTATTATTGTATATCGCTAATTTGATATCTACGTAGGGATCTGATGGGGTTAAGGATAGCTCGAAGAAATTCGGGGATCAAAGTGGATATCATATAATTGGTGGGCTATCGGGCATAACAGGGGATTTGTGTAGTTCGGTTTCAGTAAAAAGAAAGTTCCAGTTCGATTTGTAGGTTTGGTTAAACGAAGAATTTGGTGAACTTAAAATACAAATTTTCTAAATTACTAGTAAAATATGTTAGAGTTCCGGCCAGAACCATGAAAAAGTTCCAGTTCCGGAATCCCTCAAATTGGATCTGGTTCCAATCAAAATTTCGGTTCCTGTGAAACCCTGATATTACCTTATTAAATACATAATAAAATAAGATTTATACAAAAAATTTCTTTAAATCATATAATTTATTTGTATTCCAACAATATTAGTCTTGCTGCTGAAGAAATTGCAAATTTTTGGAAATTCTTTAATTAATGCCCCTCTATGATCACTACTATAATTTAAAAATATTTAAAGCAAATTTTTAATTTATGCCAAAATCAACCTCGTAAATAAAAGTATAGGTATTTCAGCTGATGAAGTAATAGAGCTGAAATAATTAATTATAAATGTTAGAATCATTCTCGATTCATTGCTAATATTTTCAAGACGGCCAACAATATTAAAACAAACAAAGGTTGTTGCCCAACAAACAATTTGTATTAAAATTATTAAGGCTAATGATTTAAATAATGAATGACGAATTGTTGTAACTTTAAAAGAGAATAATTAAAGGTAAATAAGATTTAGTTAGACTCAATAATTGGACCCAGAACTCTTTAATTTGCTTAAAATAGGTTCGATTTAGTGAGTTCTTGATTATGCTGAGTCAGAAACTTACAGGATAACTAACAATAAAATTTCTCGACTCAGCGATAAAAATTGATGATTAATAAATTGGCGAAAAATGTTTGGTATCTACTCTAATTCAAAAAGAAATTGGAATCTGAAACCCTCATATGTAGTACCTTTTCATACCTGTATAAAACACTAATGCCCTTCTTTATTTTATAATGAAAATTATTTTACTATATCATTAGATAAATTAAATACGATTACTTAATTCTGGGTCATCTTATAATAAAGGTCCAACGTATTTAAAATAGGGTAGCAACCCGCCCCCAAAACCCCGACCCCGACAGATTTTTTGGCAAAAACAAGACCCGAACCCCGAAGGCTCTACCGCGGCAAACCCCGATCCTCGACACACCAGCCCCCGGGGCCCGTAGAATAAATTCGGGGTAAGGGGTATTTAACTCCTACCTTGGGGTTAAATAACCCGTAACCCGCAGAATAAATTCAAACCCTTAGCTTCGGGTTAAATGACCGGGTCAGATAACCCGGTTATCTGACCCGCGTAACCTTACCGGTAGAATAAATTAATTACCCAGGTTAAATACCCGCAGGTAAGGGGCAAATTGCAACCCTACTAGGGGGCAGGGTAACATGCGAATTATGCATAATTTCAAAAAATTAAAACATTTATAAAATTGCAAAATTAAAAAAAAATAATTTCTATGCAAAACGCATAGCAATTTTATTTCGCTTTATAACTCCATGTCATCTAGCCATTCCCATACGAATTTCAAAAGAATTTGCAGCAAAATATTTCAAAGTAGTTAGTATCTGTATTGATAAAATATAAAAACTAGATCCCCTCTCACCAACCTGTATTTCTGGGTTTGTTTGTGGTCTACCAGGCCTGCATGTATTAAATAGAGAACGGCGCGGGACGGGATCCCGCGCTGGATTTTGCGGGATACCGCTCCCGCAATCCCGCACCTTTTCTTATTTGCGGGATTTTGCAGGAATATTCCCGCGGGAGTTACTTCCGCAAACATTTTTAAAAATTACTGCAAAATATTTTCCATTTTGCGGAATTTTTGGGAAATGAAGGATTACGACCCCTTGGCTTATAAACTTCAAAAAATTTTCTCCTGCGGCGCCATTTCGCAATTATTGCAAAATGGTTTGGCAATAAAATATAAAGGGTTAAATAACCCAGTAACTCAACTAGTTAAATAACCCTTAGCTCAGTGTTAAATAACCCTTAACTCGGTGTTGAATTTATTCTACCGATTTTAACCCGAAGCTTAGTGTTATTTGCCCCCGGGTTGTTTAACCGGGTTATTTAACCGGGTTATCCAACCCCGAATTTATTCTACGGGCCCGGAGGGTCGGGTTGCTATCATAATTTTAAATATTAAATTAAAATATTCACATTGTTCGTCTTTGCGCATAGCAAACAATTTGGCAATAATAAAAACATAACAGCCAAAAGTCAACGAAATGAAGGCAAAATCAATGAAAACAAGACAAAAACAATGAGTAAAAAACGAAACCATCTCGTCAATTAATTGTCCAGTAGTGATATTTAAATCTTCATTTGCCCCCATTTTTGGCATTAAAACATAATTGCTAACTTGGAATGTTACAAATAAAATATATAGAGAGCTAATAAATGAAGCAACAAAGAAATATATTTTGCTGTTTCTTTTCATATACCTTTAAATTATTTAAAAATTATATACAAGTAGGGTTGTCGGTTTTAGACCGAACCGAATAACCAAGGATTTTTTGATTAGGTTCTTCGGTTTGGTTTCGGATTTCGAAGAATTTCCAGGAACCGACAACCCTATATACAAGAGATATTATACAAAAAATATTTTGGTTGACTTTCTTTTTCGTTAAAGGTCTCATTGAATGAAATATTGTTAAAATCGAGTCTCTTAATTCTTGATATTTTTGTTTTTAAGTTACAAAACTATTTTTTTATTTTTAAACATACCGTATATACTCGATTAATACCCCCCCCCCCTAAATAATTACCCCGTCTCTATTAGTTGCCCCCTCCAGCGAAACGTTGAAACAATAATTACCCTCTTAAAATTAGTTATAATTAGCCTTCCTAAAATAACTTTATTAATTAGCCTCTCCAGAAAGGTCGAACCAATAATTACCCAGGGTAATTAATAGAGTATATACGTTATTTATCCGATCGTATCGGTAAATTTCTGAACTTTACTGCATAATATGGGTTATTAAGATTTACTCGAACATTTTCTCAGATTTTCTCAGATTCTCAGATTATAAATATTTTTTATTCCTTTAATAATTTCACTATATACATATTTGAATTTTTTATAAAGTAATTTCCTCACCAGACAGGTATAAGGATACTCAAAAGTCTATCAATCCCAATAGCTAACATAAAAGGGAAAATTCCATGCATTATAGCGGCTGCAGGTAAATAAATAAATCCACAGAAAAATGCTGGAATTCCAGAAATTTCAAGAGATGCCGATAAAATTGTATTAAATTTTGTAAAAAATCCACATAGGCAATAAACTCCAATCAGACAATGGCAATTACTTACATATAAATTCCTTAAAAATTGAGAGAATTCAATTTATCTATCAAATTAGCAATTAATTTCTAGTCTACTATTTTAGTAAATTTTGCCTACGCGCTGCTAAGAAAGTCAATTATTGGTCTGTTAGGCTTAAATTTCTGTTCATTTTATAAGATTCCAGCCTCGAAAGAGAGGTCGAATCTAACCCCTAACGATTTTTTAAGAGGAGTTACCACCCCAATAGGGATGTTCCCGACAGAGGGCCACGGGGAAGAATTTTCGAGGAGGCAAGGGGTGGGGGGTTTCAAAAAATCTCTCAAATTCCACGGCTTTCGAGGACGCGGAACAACCCTACACCACCATTTTTACCTAGCAATATTTTCAATAATTTGATTAAAAATAAAATTTTATTAATTTATACTTACTTGCTTCTTAAAGTTAAAAATACTACAACTCCAAAAAGTATAACTCCAATACTGTCTAGAATTAAATTAATAATTTCCATAATAATTAATGTTAAAGAATTATTGTTCAACATTTTAACGTTATTTTATCTTGGAATATTATCAATAATTTAACGGTCAAAGTAATTTCTATCAGGGTTGTTGGCGATCGGTTGTTAACCTATAACCCATGTTTTTGGTTAATCCAGATTTTGAAACGCGGTTCTCAGTTATAAGTATGTATGATGTCTTAAAAAATAATAAAACGTCTAAATTTTTATAATTTCAAGATTTCGATTGTCCAATTAATATGTAGTCCCTTGCATTGACACAAAAATTTTTCCCAACGAGGATGATCCTAACAAAAATCCCTTAATTTAGCAAAGTATCGTCAAATCTAGCCGGTCTTAGTAATCATTTGACCAAGCTCGGAGAGTCTTTCACATTAAAAATAATAAATTACATATCAAACAAAAAAAGCTCAAAATGGTCAGGTAAACGTGAAAAAATTTTATTTAATCTACTGGTGGATTTTTTGAGTCAAAATTTTGTTTACATAATTTAGTTTTATCTAGATGCGGAAATAAAAATTTTTCATAAAATCAAAAATACTTGCTAAATTAAATTTATAATTTATGGCAAATTAAATTTAGAATAATTTAAATAGACTAAATTAATTTACATAAAAAAGGCTAAAAAAGAAATAGCTAATAAAAGGAAATAAATAAAGGTTGGGCAATAATTAATTGCTTTTATGGGCACAAATTGAAGCAAAAAATAGAAACTAATTATTAGATTAGTGTTGGAAAACAAAATGTTACCAAACAACTAACTTGATAATATACCTATAATTAGAACAATAATTAGTTTTATTTTTTATTATTATTGCCGTGTTTTTAATATTATTTCTGTTTACAAATGTCATTTTTGCTTAAGCTGATTATTTAAATGTTGATGATTAGAGATTAAAAATAGTAATAAAGTATAATTTTTGTCATTGTTATTTATGTATTTAAACGATGTTCGTGCAAATGTCACGTTGTTTAAGTGATACCGTTGTTTAAATGATATCATGGTCGACCAAATCCCCCATAGAGATATCAAGGGATTTGGATGAGGGATTTGGGTGAGGGATCTGGACTCAACTTGAACAAAAATCACCTAATCAACTATAAAATTTTAATGAAGTTGAAATTAAAGAAATAAAATTAAAGAAAAATAGAAATATTTTGGACTGCTGTAATGAAGTACACTTCTCGAATTTGATTGACACTTGTTTTTGGCACATTCCAATATCTTATTAGAAGTTACCTATTCACAAGAATGGCTCATTCAACGGAAAGAGAGTGTCTTACGTCGTGCATTGCAAGACTTGCATTCTTCAAATAGCACTTTCTTCAACATCATTAGAGTGATCATTAGATCTTGGAAATAAACAACGTGAACTAGTGATTACTAAAACATTTTGATAATTTTATATATTTAATTAATAGGAATTTTGGGGATAATTGATGGAGAAATCTAAAAGATGTTATTTTAATTCCAGATTTTATTAGCTATTTATTTTTATAAAAGTATAAATTTGTTCCTAACAGAAAATCTATAAATCGTTGGCAAAAAAATTATAGCAAATTCTATAACTATTTATTTAATCACCTATTCATTTTATATTCAATTGCTACTTCAAAAATATTTTTTCTATTTGTTTAAGCAATTTTATATTCAAAAATCAATTTTAAATATAAATTTTAGAAGGCTTTAATTTAAAAATTTTAATTTTTAATTAAATCTTCTTGCCCAAAAAAATATTTTTTGCCAATTCTGGGTCTCGGAAAAACTTATTTCATTTAAGACCCGTGCCTTAATTCATCTTCTATCATTCATTTTTTGGATAGTTATTAATTACTTTTTATCAAATAAATTAACAAAATAAATTAAAAATATGGGCAAAAATAAGATAGTTGCTTTGTTGTTTTTTGTAATTACTATTTATTTTGGTAAGTCAAAAACTCTTGATATAAAGTGTAAGGAAATGAAAGATCCAGCTGGCTAGCATTGAAAACGTTTAGGGGGGGGGTCTATTAAAAGAGAAGGCTAAGTTGGTAGAGCACCTGTACGTGATGAGCAAAAACCCCTAGCAATAACTGCCAGGAGGTCGCAGGATCGAAGCCTGCCCGTGATTAAACTTTTTCCTCGCTCTTACTCTAGCTAACAGGATTGATTTGCTCCGAACATACTAAATAAAGCTATAGCCGAATAAAAATCAGTAATCACGATTGAGCACACTTATTCAGATGTAATATTTTTAGGATGATCTGAAAATATCCATCCTTATAGCTAAAATATTCCTCACATCCATAGCTTTAGAATAATATAGAAATTATCTTAGTAAATTTTGAATAAAATGTGTTATAGTCCAAAATATGTATTGCCTATAAATTTATTTTAAATTGCAAAATTAAGTTTTCAAATTCTTTGATTTTCCTGAATATTTGACTGCAACAAAATATTCAGCAACATTTAATAGTACAAGAAAGTTTTACAATGAAATTGAAGAATGGCAAAAACAAAAACAGTTAAATTTAAAATATATAAATTTGTCAAAATTGGAAATTTGGAGAAGACAAGAAACTACAAAATTTATTTTATTAGAAATAACTGAAGATCATTTTCACGGATCTTGTGGACGTCTTGCTAATCAAGTAAATAAGCATTTTATATTGTTGTAGAGGGGATGGGGCTTAAATTCTAAAAGAAAATAAAAGAATGATTATACTACCCTAAACAAACGAAAAGCTAAACATTTACCCCCAAGATCCTAAGAAAAAACTACCTAATTGGAATTTAAATTGAGTTATAAACGAATCGAATTCAAAAAATTTGATCTTACAAAAAATTCATTATAACTTTGAATTTGAATCATTCGAAAGTTAACGATTTTTCGAGGGATCAAGGTGGATTTGGAGCGATTGTTAAAATATCGGTTGATTTGGGAGGAATAATGGGGAAAGGGATTAATAGATATATTAAGGATTAATTGAGAAAAGGTGGGCTATTGTCGATGTAGTCAATGTCAGAGTCGAGTTCAAAAAAATTGTTCGGGGTCGGGGTTAGACGAGGCTAGGATCCAATCCTACCTTATAGCTCCAAATATATTAAATATTTATTAGATGTGGACTTTTGCAATAATTTATGTTTGGGGACTACAAACTCAACGTTATCCTGGATATTTTAACAACTCTAAATTTTCTTGTGATTCTTTTAACAATACTCCAAATGAAATGGAAGAAACATTTCCTGTTGCTCACAGAATTTTTGCTTCTATTAAGGTGCCGTTTAAGGGTTTTCTAAAGTAATTTTAAAAATTGTTTTGTTAAAGCCTGAAGAAGTTGAAGGCGATACAATATTTAAAATGAATTTCAGTAAAAATGAAGTAATGAAAGCAAAAGAAAAATATTTAAGAATTCATTACCCTCCACAAATACATGATTTATTTAAAGATGTAAAAAATCAAATTAAAGAATTATATTTCTTTTCAACCAAAATTAGAACTATTGTTGACAAATATATTGATGAAATATTTGGGTACGTTATAAATTAAATTTTCATCCCCTAAAGATAGCGTGAATCTTCATTTTCGAATTGGCTTGTAAGAACAAGTTTCGCTGTAAGAATGAAAGCTGTGTGCGGCGTGACGGTGTGAACCGCGCAGCTATTGGTAGTTTAATTAGACTGAATAAAGATGAAGAGAAGCTGAGTTAATTGGAATAGCTGAGCTGGAATGTCCCGGGAATCCTTAATTCTTCGATAAATTGATCATCTCGTATAATATTGTGTGCATTTCTTGGTATTCCTCATTTGCCGCACTAAGGCATTTGTATTATATTATTAAAATAAATATAATTCGTACCAAAATATTTGGGTATAACGTAAATATAACGTACCCAAATATTTGGGCGAGAGGATGGAACCATGAGCTCTATAATTGGCGAGCTAATACAAATGACCAGACCTGCTCACGGATACGGATAATATCCGGATACCCGCGGATATCAGCGGATACGGATGGATATGGATACTGTTTTTAAAAAAATTGGACGGATACGGATGGATACGGATATGCTGCTTCAAATCCGCGGATATCCATCTCAAAATTCTAGCCTGCGTTACAAATAAAGTGAATTTTTTTCGCTTTCGGCCTTTCAAAATTTTAAAAATTTTCGCCTGCGGCGCTAAAAAAATAAAGAAATCTGGCTGTTAAATAATTGAAATTCTCAAATTTTCGCCTGCGGCGCTAGAATGAAGAACTCTGGTTTCTTCGCCTTACAGCTTAAAAATTTTCATCTACTCCAATGTGTGCCTACCCACTTAAGGTACGAAGTACAAGTCAGGCCAAATTCAGTGGTGAGTACGAGAAAAATTAGCTCGTACTCTTTTAGCTGGGCAAACGAAAATTTTCAGAGGGGTACGCCTGAAATATATAAAAATACCTCAATTTATTTAATAAAAGCCATTTAAAATTTTAAAATAAATTGCAGAAATGATCCTTCACATAAATTATGCGTATATACAAGATTAGGCGATTTTGGTCCACCCAAGAACCCTAGACATCATCCGTCAAAAAAAGATTTTACTGAAGAATCAACAAAATATGTTTTTAATGAAATAAAGGTATGTATTTAATTATAAAAATATTTAAACAAATAATTGAAAATATTATTTAAAAAATTCGTCAGAAATAATTAAAATTTTATAGAAACGAATCCATAGTGATGAAATTACATTAGTTCTACTTGGAGCAGATAAAAAGTTTTTGACAAATTTAAATTTTGATAGAATTAAGGTAAAAATTGGTTAATGCCAGTTTGCAGTCTCTATATTTGAAAAAGGCATTTATTTTTTTCGAAATGTCAGTTTAGTGTTTGCGAGGACATTCTTCTTGATTACTATTTTTCTTTAGACAATGTTTGTACATGTGCTTGTTTACTCAGTAAACCTTGCACAATACAATCCATCCCTTGCTCGCTTAAACCTCCTCAAATTATCAAAATTACGCTAAACGGTAAAACAAAACCAAAAATATGACTAGAGGAAATGAAGATAGCAATTAAGGAAAGCATTAGAATGCATACTTTTGCAGACTTAGGGACTGCACATTGGGCATTTTATCTTTTAAATATATTTAATTATTTAATAGCCAAAAAGAGTGTTTATGCCCAAAAATATGACTAGAGGACAAGATATGTATTTTCCAACAAAAATCTGTAATACATTAATAATTACTGCTTCAGCTTCTACTTTTGGATGGTGGATTGGTTATTTATTAAACGATATAAATTCTCAAATTTATTATTATGATGATTTTGAAGTCAATTCATTGTATCACAGAAAAGATTTTCCTTCAGAATGGATTCCTCTTAAATTTGATCAAAAAACTAGACAAATAAATAAAGGAAATTAGTGAAAATATTGATGAATTTATTCATAAATTGTGACATTTTAGTGTAAAAATAAGGAAAATTACGAGCTGGGTTGGTAAATAATAGGATATCTGCTTACAAAACATACACATTTGTTTGTTCTGGACAGCTCTCTTTGGACAGCTCTATCAAGGATAATATGGAGATGGCCATTCAACTGGCCATTCCATTCTTTTAAGAAAATAAGTAAAGACTTCATTACAATACTGAGCTGTTCAATTCGGCATAAAATAAGTTGTCCATTCTATAAAAATTTAAAAACGCTAAACAAATAATTGAAATAATAATAACTAATTCATAAAATAGAGGTGGGCCCCCCGATAGGGTTGTTTCTAGGGTGGTGGGCCCAAACCCAGGAATAATGGAATAAGGAAGGGAATATGCCCGGGACTTCCTAGGATAGACTCAAGGGTTTATCAGGCCCTCTGTTGATATTCTTCACAAGACACACAAAATTAAACACAATTTATTTATTTATTAAATCCAAATAATATTAAAATAGTTATGTAAAGTGAATAAGCAAAAAATTGGAATGGAATTAAAAAGGATAAAACGGATAAAAACTGATGGAAACAAACTTCTGTATACATTTGACCCTTGCAATAATACCCCATTAAATAATATGTTAACTCTTCAAAATCCTAGAAACTGAAGGATACAGTATACTTAATTTGTTAAACATAGATTTCAAAGTGCAAGTTTTAATTATAATAAAACTGATTAAAATTTTTTATTTCAAAGAAAAATAAATTTTTAACGAAAAAATATTGTAATCGTACACCTTATTACCGACATCACGCAATTTACAACAAAAATTGCCCATCATGTCTAGCCATTTCTTAATAAACTCATAATGCCCTTAATGCCCTTATTAATTAATTAATTTTTAAAGATGCAATAATTATTGTATATTGCATTTTCTTCCTATTACATCATCAAAAACAATGCATTTAAAAGGGAATCCAAATTTTAAAAAATCAAAAATTAATTTAAAATGTCAAAAAATTTATCTTTTTTCTTATTTATTTTTTTCTGTCAAATATTAAATTCTCAACAAGTCAAATTAAAATTAATTGAAGAATTTAGTAATGGGGATGATAATAAAAAAGGTAACGAAATAAATTTGTTATTTTAAAATTCTAGTTGAAGGAAATGTTTCTTATTTGTTAGTTTCAGAAACAGAGTAAGAGTTAAATAGTTTAGCTTAAGGAACATGCAGATCAGAGGTGAATCGGAATTTCGAATTACGACTTCTGAGCTATTTCCGAGTTCCGGCACCTCTCTAGTGGAGTGTCTCCTTTAATGCGGATCATCCATATAACAGTGGAACCGCCAAACTTTTGGAGTTGATCAGAAGAAGCAGAAATTACGCGCGCGCTTTTTCATTTTTTTCAATTACTTTATTTTACACTTTTTAGTGTTAACTTGTTAAACTTTAAAATTTAACTTAACTTGTTAACCCTAACTTGCTTCAAGATTTCCGAATCTTAACAAATTTATTATTAAACGATTTCTTTCATTGGCTAAAGAGATTGGCACACGCAAAATTTCCCAGATAGTTTGTTTTGTCCGCAAGTTGTTTTGGGCTGTAGTCTTTTAACAATAATGTCATAAAATTTTTTAACTTTTAATTTATTCTCTCCAAAAATATTTAGAAAAAGAGGAATCTACAAGCAACCGTCAATCACATAATGTAAATTCAAAGGGACACCAATTTAGAAATATCGTATTTCAAAACAAAGAAAAATTTTTTTCAAATTCACATAATGTTGAATCAGTTAATTTAAATTATATTTTTTTATTTAATAAAAACTAGCGTTTTCTAGATTTTAATTGAAGAAGCTAAAAAAGATATAGAAGCTTTAAAAAGTGAATTTACTCGATTAGAATTTATTTTTGAAATATTTGATGACAAAAATAAATTTTTCTGTCCTAGCTATGTGGACGGGTTGCATATTGAAAATTCTGAATGGAAAGAAAATTGTTGGAAATGGTTTAACATTCGGGTACCTGTAAAGAATTGGATACAATTTTTAATTGTTGTCGATAATCCTTATGGAGGTATTTAATTAAAAATTTGTAGTAGTCAAATAGGAAAAATTTTAGACTTTAACAGATAAATAGTCTTGAAATAAAGTTTATGCTCAACTTTATCAATTTAAATTTTTTAAAAACATCAAGGTTGATCGCCAATAGTTTGGGCAGCAAATAATTCCATTATCCCATGTAATAAGCAAAATTTTAGCCGTTTGTGGGGATATGGAATTTGAGTGATATGTGTGGAGATATGTGTGCGGGGTATTGTGGGGATATGGATATTGTGGATATAAATATTGTGGGGATATAGAGGAATATTTAAGTAAGTTAATGTAGAAGGAAGGGAGGAGATCCATCTGGCTAGCATTTAACATTAAGATAGATAAAAAAAGAAGGTGAAAGTAACAATTTTACCCATACTTTTACTTTAATTTTAATTAAATATAAATCCAAAAAATAATTATTTAAAAATAAGGCCCTTTAAAATTAAATCTGGCTGCCAGACCAATATTAGAAAATGTTGATGAAAGAATCACATTACATGACGAATACCAAAATAAAGTTAAAAAAGCCCTTCCACAATCTTCAACAATCGAAAATAAAAATTTTGAAACAAAATCAAAAAATTTAGTTAATATAGTCAAGACTTTTGAAGAAATTACACTTTATAGAGAGACTAAAAAGACACCTCCAAATTGGTTGAATAGAAGTGTTTGTGAGGTTGTTGATACTTGGATGCTTTTTTACAGAAAATATGAAGCTATGAGACGTTATAAAATTAATGTTGTGGAAGACAAACATGAAGAAATTGAAAAGTTGAAGGCAATAGAAATATTTTTCGTATTGAGGAGTAGGGTTGTCGGTTCTTGGAAATTCTTCGGATATCCGAAACCGAACCTAAGAACTGTAAAGCATATAGCTATTTAATTCCTAAGGCTATGCAGTAGGTGACGCGGTGTAACGGCTAACAACTCAGTCCGGTCTACTGAAGATGCTGGTTCGCTCCCAGCTGCCGAATAACCTTTTGCACTAGCTAACGAAGAGAAATAGCTATAGCCAGCTGTTACTGAACTCAACAGAAAAT